AAATATATTATTTAAACAGGTATCTCAGTCCACGAAAATGCATTCTCTTGATAACCAAAAATCAGTGAATTAAGTTTAACTTTCATGAAAGTTTTATACCATATTTCTTCAATTATTCGCTTATTATCTTACTCTAAGGAAGTGGTTAATGAATTTCAGTGTCCCTCATATTCTCTGCTTGCCACCATAAGTTACCTAGATGTTAGGCAACCTTGGTGATAAGAGGTTTATCTTATATTTGAAAGATATAGCACAATAAGCCTGCTTGGGTTTGGCTAAATTAGAAACCTTGTTTCGTACTTAAATAAATAAATAGTAAATTGCTGTGTGTTTGATAATCATTGTTATCATCTACAATGCTCCAAATTTAAAGCTTTAAAAACCAGCAAATACTAATTTAAATCTTTTACCTAAACACTGTCTGTGTGTTCTGGCAGTGCCCAATGGGCCTGGGGACCTCCCTGCCATTGGAAACCTTGGAAGCTGAGAGTGCCCAAAGGGGTGGGAGCACACAGAGTGGCTAAGGCTCAGGACTGTAAGTGCCAGGGCGCAGGGCATTCTGCAGGGGCAGGAGGTGGAAGCAGAAGCCCCAGCTACACGCATGATCGGGGTGGGATAAGGGGTTGGCAGGACCGCAGATGCCAAATTTGCAGGGGTTTGGTGGGATGGTGGGGAGGTGGTAGGACAGTTCCACACTTAGATTGATCTAAGCAAAAGAAAAAGGGCCCCTAGATCATTGCTGCTGGTCTATATTAGGAACTCCTTGTGCTACATCCCATGAAATCTGCTTAATTAGTCACTGGGATAACCCCTCAACTTTGTTCTTATCAGTTACTATAAGGTCTACACGAGCGTGAACTAAGTCTGCATGTACCCATAGCAATTTGGATACCTGCAAATTAGTATCGGTATGTTTATGCTGAACCCATTTAAAGTATTTCAAAGTCAGTATTTTTCTGATTCCCTATGTTTTGAATTAATGAGGTTTTTTCCTGGTCCTAACGACCAGAAAACAGCTTTGAATTTCAAAGTAGATGTATTTCAAATTATCTGTATGGTATAGATAAGGCATACAAAAACCTATCTTTTTGGTGGGGAGTGAAAATAGCTTCCAGGAATCCAACACTTTGAACTATCTGATATTGAATTAATGAGGTTTTATTGTAGTTGGTGTGGGCACCTGTAAATCCTATTAAAAGCTAACTGCACAAAACAATCCTAAAAGGAACCCCAACAAGCTTGAAATAATATCTCTTACAGGTAATTTTGAACTTATTTGGTCCAATGCACCCCAAGATGCCAACTTTTCTACAACAGGGTGATAGGAATAAACAGAGTGAAGAAAGGACCAAAAGCACAGTGCAAATGAAATCACTCTCTATGGCTATGAAATCAATCCTGCAACACTATCAATACCTACCTACACAACATGTATTTTCTCCCATCCCTTTGTTTTTCTTCCTTCTAAGACACAAGTTTATATCCCTGCATTCCTAAGCTTCACTTTCACAGTACAGTCCATATATTTTCTTGAGCCAAGATCATCCTTCGCTCAATTAGCTTTCTCCCTCCCTACTGTTTATCCCCCATATGTATTTAGAGACAGAAATCATATCCCCCACCAGCCTTTCCTTTGCTAGTCTAAACAAGTTAGTACTTTTTTTCTCCTCTGGAAAGATCAGTTCTTCAGTCTCCTGATAATCCCTTTTCCTACACCTCTTTTCCATTTAATTTATTTTCATTGTAAATTCAACATGGCCAAAACACACAATGGCCAGGATTATACCAAGTATTCCACAAGAGATTTCACTGCTGTCTTCTAAAGCAAGGGTGTCCCTGGGCCAGATCCAGCCCACAGGTCCAGAAATTTGGCACCAGAGCAATGGCAATGCTCTGCCACTGCCAAATTTCAAGACCCATGGGAACCCCAGGCCCTGCACGCACGATCAGTTGCCCAATCCCAGTGTACAGGCCGGGTGAAGGTGGTGTTGGGTCCCAGGGCCCAATCCTAGCACACAGGGGCTAGGAGAGGGCAGCCTATGCCCCTGGGACCTACTCCCAACACACTGGGGTGGGAGGGGGTGGCACTGGTCTCTGGAGACCAATACTGACATGCAGGAGTGGGAGGAGGCAGTGCCAGGCCCCCAGGGACAGGAGGAGGCAGTGATGGGCCCCAAGGCAGGGAGGGACAACAGTGCTGGACCCCAATCTTGGTGTGTGGGGCTCAGTGTAGCCCATGGACCACCCTATCACACTCAGCTGGCCCTTGGGGCCAAAAGGTTGAGCACCACTCTTCTACGACATTAATACTTTTCTGTCTGTACTGGAAACACCTCACTCAATGCATCCTAAAAATGTATTTGCCGTTTTCATCACTGCATCACATTGAAAGCTCTTGGTCATCCTGTTAACATGGAAACATTCATAATTCCCAGAAGTACTCCGACATCACACTGATGTGCAAAACAAGGCTCCTATTGCACCTTCCTGTTCCAAAAATCTGTTAAACATGTAGGTCCCAAATAAAGAATACATCTGATATCAAACTGATAAAAAAAATCATCTGCTATGTTTGCCCTTAGCCAAAAAGATAGAGTAACACTAGTATTCCCGACAGTTCTGCAGTCCTATGTTGATGACAGTTTGCAACGTCATGGTAACTTGAAAGACTAACAGGCTGATACTTTTAACAGTATTTAATCAATTCATAATCCCGCCAATGAAAGGGTCCTTCTTACCAATTCAAGGCAAATAGCTTGTTTCTTGTTCAGTCGGGTCACAAACCAAAAGGAGTCTGACAGAGAAGCAAAGTAACATAAATCATTCTCAACACCCCTCCTCTTCTCCCCCCCCCCCCCCA